GTTATCAAAGTGTTTCTTTTCTGTGCACCAAAGAGTTCACCAAATCAAAAAATGCTATATTCTTCGATGATGCTAATTAAGAAAAGGTGATGATCGATGGGGACCAAACATCAGCTTGCCCACTGAAAAACTTGTTATATGTTCTAACATGTTAGCATGTATTAGACTCATGTTAGAATATATGATTTAACCGAAACCAGAAAGATATGATCTATCATCTAATTATGACTTATTAACGTAGAAACCATTTCTCGAACACAGTTACACAAATGTGAAACTCTATCCCTGATTTAGGTTATAGCTTACCTCAGAGTCTATAGTTTATAGTTAATAGGAGGTGATGTCCAGTTTAAATGCCATAAACACTTACACAACTGTCAACTGCTTTAAACCGGGCATAGTAATGAGCAAGACTTAGCAAATAGTATCAATAAACATATATGTGATTATTTCTTTTGAGAATCATATAATATTGAAAGATGTTAAAAATGTTTAAAGTTAGTTCGAGGTCGTACAAACAAAGGCGTGGCTATAACCGCCGCTCTAGGGTCAAAGCTTTCTCAAATCATCTACTAAATAAATATTTGAAAACTAATAAAGAAACTACTATTGTATACTTTCATCGCACGGAAGTATGAGTGTTTTAGTTAATTAACAGAAAGAAATAGTAAAACCCACCACATTCGTAGCTGGAAAAGGGAGGAAGTGCAAGTAGACAAACGTATTTTTTATCATTTATTTATTATTTAAGAATCTTACAACTGATTTATAAACATTGAAAATAATTTATAATTTTTTATATATTACTTTATCAAATTTGTAACCTATTTATAAAGCTTAGTAAATATTTTAATAAACTATTAATAAGGTTTAACGATGATTTTATAAGCTTTTGTCTGTTATTTTTTAGGATGGACATGATTTTTCTTGATATTACGAAGTAAAGCGATAAAACTTTATAAAGGAGGAAACACATACAATTTTTATATATTAATACTGTCAAATACTTAAGATTTCTAAGTTATATAAAGTTGTAGATAGTGTTTAGGATATTTAGTTAGTTTAGAAATTCAACATTGTTACTTAAAATATGGCAAGGGTTTTATTCTCCTCTTTAAACAATTTCAGTTTGATTCGTACTTTTTTATGTTTCAGAAGAAATAATGTAGGATTATTTTTCTTCTTTTTAATTTCTGAACCAATATGTTATACTCCTACCATATTAATCAATAAGCTTTTCTTGTTTTATTTATTTACCTCATATTTTTGTAGTATGAAGAATAATCACATCTTTAATCTTATAAAATCATCATTAAATTTTAATAATAATTTATAAAAAGTATTAAATGAGAAAACTTTATAAATAGATTATAAAATTGATGAAGTAATATATAAAAAATATAAATTATTTTCAATGTTCATAAATCAATTTTAAGATTCTTAAATAATGAATAAATGATAATAAAGATTTTAAAATATTTAACCACATTTAGTAATAAAACCCCTCAACTAAAGTTGGATCGTAATAAAAACCCTCAACTAAAAATTTAGTGAAATAAACCCTCAACTATAGTTCTGTTAACATATGTCACCCTCCGTCTAAAATTATGTGACGGAGGGTGACAAACATTAACGGAACTAAAGTTGAGGGTTTATTTCACTAAATCTTTAGTTGGGGGTTTTTTTTACGATCTATCTTTAGTTGAGGGGTTTAATTACTAAAAACCCTTTTTATAATAAAAACATACTTTTCTAGTAAACATTATTATCTTATCAGCAAAGACAGAACGATTTAATATATATTCTAGTGTAAGTAAAAATGGAAATAATGTAATGCATGCGGCGTACCAAAGCACTGGTTTTTGTAATTTACGTATGTGTCCACGCTCCCATGTGCGAACATCTCATCTCCTGCTATTTTATAAGCAACAAGAAACCAAAAACCTTTCTCGTTTATATATTGGGGAAATGTAAACTTGATTCTGATTCTCTCTAATTATCAATATATAGTACATTTTTCATGTGATGAAATTTTGTTAAGTTACATAGTTCGGATAATAGGTTAAGTTTGATCCATATATTGTCCCCTTAATGCATTGCAATTAAATGAATTAACGATCAGCCTGTTCTGGAATCTAAGATAAATACAAAAATAAAATAGTAGATCGATAATCCAAAACTCAGCTCTTATATCTTTCCTACATATCACATATTCTGCACATATTCTGCATGTGAAGTGATTTGCTCATATCACTTTTCAGTTTTCATATCAATTTAACTGGATCGTCATGAATAAATGTATACTGAAATCAAATATTGTATGTCAGATGATTTGAAGTGGAAGTAATATAAAATATACGTGTTTTTTTTTTGTTAAAAATAAAATATACGTGTTATCAATAAATAAATTTGGGTCAGTCAAAGTGCATGTTATGGAAGCTTGGATACATTCCCCCATGGGTTACGTACGTACTACCTTGCTAGTTGTGTTCGAAGGATCTTCTCTTCAGGTTCTCTCTGACGCACATCCTCATTAATGCTTCTGCAGCTATTATTATTGTTTCTCTGAATTCAATTAAAGATCAGATCAATGGTAGTATGAATCTGCATTGAACTGCATGCATCCTCGTGCACCAATCACCATATACACATAATAAATAGACATAATTAAGTATATCACTTGATCAACTTGCTTATCTAGTTACCATTGATTAATGTTTGCTTTTCTTAGATGTTAGTATAAAATTAAGTTATCCAGTTCTTTTACGTATGGCTTTATATAGTGAATTGGCACTCGGTTTTTGTTAGATCATGTTGATTGTTGAGTAAACAAACAAAACTCGAACTCTGTTAAAAGTTTGCATCTATAGTCTGTACTTTATAAAAGCCTACTAGAAATAGGTTCAACTTTTAACTTTAACTTTGGCTCTTATCTTCGTCTCTTTAATGTAAGGGAAAACAAAAGAAAGATTTATTTATAAGGACCCTAAGAGCAGGCTTATCGCACAAACCCATTACTCAGGTTTCTTAAACAAAAAAATTTGTCTAATTAAAAAAAAATAAAAAATCGAACCAATTGCGAGCAGCCACTGTCGGTGGAACCTTGAACAATACAAAAAAAAACCTCAACAAGTGATCCTTAACTTATTTGGTGGTTTATGTCACCGATTTTTAACAATTTTGCGGGCTCTACACACTAAGAAACTCTCGATAATCCTGCCCTAAGCATAATCACGAGAAGATATAGTGTGGTGTGTTGAACAATCAATGTTTAGTTTAGACTTTGGATTTTTTTAAGAAAATGTCTAAGATTACGATGATGAATTAGTGTTCTTATGATTCATTCCCTTTATGTTATGATCAAGTACATGTTGTCAGACGTTCAACAGCTCGTTTAATCCAAACAAAGATACACTCATACAAGTCTTTTTAGTGATCAAGATTTCTTGTTTAGTCGATTCGAATCGATCTTGTTGATAGATCATGGATGCTTGTTTTTGAAGTGGCCTACAACTTGGGAATAGCCCAAAGTTTGGTTCGGCTTCACTGCCACGAATTCAAAGGAGACATTGCATTGATAAACCGTCGTTTGTCCTCGCAACACTTGCTCGTTTTATGAAATAATGGCCCAGCTAATTGTTAAAAAATTATGTATGGGCCTTTTATTGAGCCCTTAAAAAGTTATAGATTTTGATTTGTCAACATTCTTTGTATGCTTGTGCATCCTCGGATACCTTGCTATTTGGTTCCAGTTACGTTTCATGCAGGGACAAGGAGCTTGGTATCATTAAGATCACAGCTCAGCTCAGGTTGTGGTGCTGCATGGGATGCATTTTTTTTTTAGGGACTTGGATAAGTGAGTGGATCGATGAACCCTCTGTGGGTCTCAACTTTGTTCTGCCATGTGTTACAAGAAAGTGTGACTTTGATTGAAGAATATTATTGAGGTCAGAACTATTGCATACAAGAAGATATAAATGGACCCAAGAGTTATTAATCGATGAGGTTTGGCTCCATTAGACTTACTTTTTTCTCCACATGTGTTATTGTCTGCCTTGGTGTTCCTCTTGGTTTTATGTACGAAGCTGTTTAGCTTTTTTTTTGTTGGTTGTGGCCAATGTGTATCTGAAAAATAACAAGATGATCTGTCTTTTGTCTATATGTTTAGTGCGAGGAAAATGTGCATACTCCTAGTCGGTTCTACATGAAGAGTTTGGTACTGTATATAGTATTTCAAGATTGATATACCAATGTTTTGATGTTGTCCAGTGTTTGGTGATTAATTCAACATTGTCAAATTCTCGATTATTTTATACATAAATTTCTATGTGGCTTCTAAGTTAACCTTTGGTGATTGAGTATAATTGTCAAGTTCTAATCTGCTACATGCTCAAGTTTATGTTTGCTTCAGTAGACAATGTCTCACCTCAAGATGTGTAAAGAATTGGAGTAGATCCGTCTATTTAAGTTTGTTTTTAGTCTCATGGTTTTGACTGTTGTTCCACATTTTGTGATCATACTCACATGGTTACTTTGTACATTCTATTAATGTATATGTATGTTAGTGAATAAAGATTCATCCAAAAGGCTAAAGTTTAGTCACTATTTATCTAGTAAACAAAAAAATTTGGGGCCTCACAAAGATTGCATTAGATTCTTGATTATTCAATTGATTTTTTTTGTTCTATTAGCTGCATTATTAGGATTATATGATGTATGAACTGTGTGTCTTGTTCTTCTGAAGTTTTTGCTTCTTGTCATCATCACAACTAACAACAAGCTCTTCTTATATATCTGTTTTATTTTTCTTCCAGTGTCTTGTTGTTAATCACTTTCTCAATAAAAGAATGTTTTCCTTACTTTTAGGTAACCTAAACTGTGACTATAAGTCTTTTCTTTACTGGTTTCCATGACAACAAATCTGCCTTTAGATCTCACTCAGTATCATATCTTTCTTATACATTCTTAACATATTTATTTATGGTGATTTGGTGTTTAGTATAAATCCATTGTTGTCTAGCTGAAAAACCCTCATACTTGTAGAAATATGGAAACATTTACAACATAATTTTATGCTAGACCAAATATTACTCACAAGAATACTTTACTAACACTTGGATAATACTGGTGAACATATCAATGACACAAAAAAACCAGCACAATGAAAAACAATCCAAAGAACAAGAATATCAGAGTTTGAGAGACAAGTCAAGGTTCTTCTGCTGCTCTTCTTCAGAATCTACTGGAATCATTCCTGCATTGAACCTACCGAAGTTTTCACTTGTTGAAGTCAACGATGGAGTAGTCATCATCATCTGATGATGATGACTCTCTGTTGAAGGTAGTCTACCTATGGCTGGTTGCTGAACAAGTGGTATCCTTGACCAATTGAACTGACCATACTCACCAGCACCAAAGGCGTTGTATGAACTTACCTTATGACTCATTGAATGTGCCTGAATCCCCAAGGATCTGTTACTGTACTGTCCTTGGAACGGGACAGGAGCAAAACCATAAGGATATCCGAAAGCTTCCATCTGCTTCCCTCTCTTTGCCAAAGTCCTCTCTCTTTTGTGAGCGTTTTGGTGACCACCTAGTGCCTGTGAGCTGTAGAACGTTCTTTGACAGTAGTTGCATGAGAAGAGCTTCTGCTCAGTGGAAGTTGACCCTTTATAACTCGGAGTAGTGGCTACACTCGTGTCTAATCCGTCGATGAGGTTGAGTTCTTGATTGAGCTGTGGTTGACTATAATCATATTCTGCTAGCATAAGGTCGAGCTTTATACCTTCCTCTTCTGCTTTTTGGTCATAGTCTTCTTCTTCTGCGTCCACGTTGTAATGCTCTAGGCTCAGGTTTAGAGAGTCTAGCTCCTCCCTGGTAGCATCCATGAGGTGGTGGTTTTTTATTTTCTCAGAAGGGGGAGCAGAAGATGGTACTACATAAGAAAGGAGTACTCACTAGAAACGCTTTTGGGTTTTTAATAAGTGGAGAAAAAGATGAGAGAGAGATGGTGTTGGTTTGGTTTTGCTGACACACAACACACAACACAAAGACACAACAAAACACTTGAAGCTGATTGGAACTCCACCATCTAATACCTGTGTTTATCCCTTTATAGGAGCCAACTTTCACTTCACCATCAACCTTTTTATTTGTCTGCTTTCTCCCTTTTAATAGACCAACACCTCTGTCCTCTAATTTTATTTTTTTTCTTCTGTTGTCTTGTGCCCTTATATATGCTAGTTCTTCAACTTACATGTCATATATGTTTTCTTATATTTTATAACTGTGCTTGATATTTTATCACTGAGTGGACCATTATGACCAGGCTAAATCTGGCGCTGATCAATGGGGGCCAGGGCCAACCGGCCAACTCGTCTTCTTATGATATATGTGTAAGGATATTACTAAACCATTTTTAGTGACCCATCTTTCAAATGTGTGATTGAATATGTTCATTCTTCAGTTTTTTTTTTGTGTGTGTAAACTAACTAATATTAAGGGGGAACAAGACAGAAGAAAAGCTTAGCAGTTCCAAAAATTGGGACCGGTTTAATTTGTTTGATGAAACTCATGACAACTTGTTGATGGGAGTAGATGAAGATGACAACAAAGTGATAATGAAATGAAAAGGATGCTCAATAACAAGAGAGAGAGAAGGAGAGAGTGGACCAAGTGATAGTATTCAGGTATGTTTGATGTTTCTGTGTACTTTTGAACTTTGAGAAGAAAGTGGACATATCTGTTTCCTTTTAGCTTTTTACTGTTGATTTATTTTGCTTCTCTGTCTCTACTTTGTACTCTTTCTACTCTTCCTTTGAACGTTTGCTTCATGTTCACTCCTCTCCTCTTTATAACCATTGGAATCCATAATAGTCACCCGGATATTACGGAGAAGGGGTTCCTATACACAACATTCTACTTCACAGTGTTTGCCACTTTTTATATGACTTTTCATGGTAAGTTTCTTGTGCCCATTTATATAGTTTCTAGAGGATCTTAGCAACATGTCGCATCCTTATGTTGAAACAAGGATTACATCTAGTATTGATCATGGAGACTTGTGTTTTAGATCCATTTTGATGTATAATTGTTCTGATCATTTCTACTAAAGTTTACTTTCCGCTTGAATGCTATTGTATGTATCAAGGGACATGATTAATTATCAGCTGTGCCAACGCACTTGAGTGTTGAGGATTGAATCTAATTTTTTTTTGATCAAAATGAATCTATTTTCCTTTGAAAATATGCATACTTTATCAAGTACTCATTCTGTTCCTTAAAAATTCATATTATAGAAAAAAAAAATATCTCTAAAAGATTAATTTTTTACATTTCCAATGTATGCTTTATTAACTAACTGTGAATTTCAAAAAAATTAATAGTACTAACTGATTTTTTATTGGTTTAAAATTATGAAAATAAGATAAATACAAAAAACTATGTAAGTTTATTGTGTTTTATTAAAAATGTGAAAAAACAAGAATATAGATCTTTTAGGAATTGAAGGATCCGAAGGAGTACATTTATCGTTTCTTTAGACTTTAGGTGATAACGTTTCGTTAAGTTTCTAGTGATATCTTGCACAGTTGCACTAACGATTTTTTTCTTTCTGTGAATAATAAAGGTTAATTTTTTATTACTAACAAAAATATGAGTCGATAGTTCTTAATGAGAAGAACGAGTTATGTAGTTCGCTCCTTGTTAGTGACAGGACATAATCAATGATTCGTCACAGAGTATTAATTAAAACTATTAAATGAATATAGTTTGGCTTCTTACAAAATATCGAAGTCCAATAAATTGTTTTGGTTTGGATGGGAAAACAAAGTGAAACGACAACGCGTCTCATCATCTAGGATTGGGGATAAGAATCTTTGATATGTTTATATTTTCAAGACTTTAGCTTAAATTAATACTTGAATACTTAGTGGAAGCCGAAAACAATAATAAAAATGTGTATTAAAATCCAAAAATGTAATAGTCAGGAGTTAGGACAAGTAGTTTAAGTATGTTGAGTCTTTTGTCGAATGCGATCTATAATTGGTGGGTCCAGTGTTACAAACTTAGGAAATAGGGAAGCTGATTCGGAGAATCAATTTTGTTTGTGCTAAATTAAATATTCTTTTCATTTCATAATACATATCGTTTAAGTTTAATGTTATTGTTGACAAATTTAAAAAATAATTATTATTTTTACTTTTATCTAATATATTATTATATTTGATTTTTGTTAGTTAATGAACTAGACATAGAGATAAAAGATGGAAAATCATTTAATATATGTATTGCAAATGTAAAATAATAATAACATAATAAATTTTAAAAGATTCTCCTTCCTTTTCATATTAAGTGTTGTTTTAGAGATTTTTTTTCGTTATAAAATAAGTGTTATTTTCGATTTTCAATAAAAAATTTATTAATTTTATTCTGTAATCTATCTTTTTATTAGTTGATATATGAGTAGATTTATAAGTAATTGTATTTTCATATGAAAAATATGTAAAATTAATAGTTTCTTTAATCTGTGTGCATAAATTTAAAACTACACTTATAGTGAAACAGAAAGAGTAAAACGATGGTTATATGAAATGGATAGAGTTTCTGATTTTACTATTTATGAATGTCACCTACTAGTGACATAGTGTTTTTTTTTAGTTTGTCATTTTTGGTATCTCCAGTGAGCAATTCAATTGTAAATTACTCTATGGGCTACAAGATGAAATCCTGATCACAGCATGTTGCAAATAAAGGATACAAAACTTGGGGTCACTTATATCTCTAATTCCTTTGATAAAAGCATTAAAACAAGAAACATGATGAAAAAGGGAAAGGCGAGAGAAGTGGTACAGAAGAAACACACCCCCACATGAATGATTAGGAAAATAACATTGTTTATGTAATCAGTAATCAGTAATCAGTAATCACAAATCAACTAAATCTTTTAAGTAGATCTCATCTGTCTCTTCCAAAATTATGCAGAACATCCCTTCCAAATTACATCTTAACTTTACTTACTATTTTGTGATAAATAAGTAAAATATAAATACCCAAAATCTTGCTTTGTTCCACAATCAAACAAAAACAGACTACTAACGAAGTATGAGTGCATGACAGCTAAATCAATTAGAATAATGTGATTGAAAGTTCAGACTTTAAATAAAAAAACTAATGTTTCATCTTATCTAAACACTGATGAACCCTACTTTTAAGGGTTGAGAAATCTGTTTAATTTTGCTTGTTAATGGATTGATAATAACTTATGGGTATATAGCATCCATGAAACCAAATAATTATATATTTGACTTTTTCTAATATATATAATTTAATTTAACCAAACAAATAAAAGGATTTAGCTGATTTTAAAAAGCTTAACTGATTAAGAACCAACAAAGCAGTGATTAGTACTATTGTAAATAAGTGTAGATGGGGAGGAGTATCTTGCTTGCTGCTGGGAAATGGGAACACTCAAACAAAATGACGGCTTCTTTCTTGTTAATACACAAAAGAAGATGCGACTTAATTTTGTAACTTTTGAAGCGATAAACACGTGCTGCTGATTAGTTACATGATCTAACTATTCAAAGGACTCTTTCATTGGATACATCATACATCACAACAACAGAAAATACTAATCGCTATAACTTATAACTAGGGTGGCACTGCTATATTACTGGTCCAGAGTAATTTAATAAACATGCAAGGCCTTTGAGTATCATTTCTCTGATCAAAGCCCACAAAAGGACCAGTGATCAGAAGCCCAGTCTACAAATACAGGTCCAAATCAGAACCCACAACTAAAGGCTCAATTCAGTATTTGTAAGCGCTGTTGTTAAAAGGTCGTCTTAATTGTACATCAAATGCGTTTTTCTTAGAGTTATTTTCATTCTAAGGCAGTTTTAAGTTTTTAATTACAAAATAGAGCAGTTGTTGCTCTTAAGGTAGTTTTTCCCAACTACAAGCTAACTAAGTTTATTTTCCCAACTAAATAGATTCCACAATTCTTAATTTTATTTTTCTTTTATTTGAAAATAAGATGATGGTCACGAGCACCAAACACCACCATCAAACTCTATGTTCTTGCTCAAAATCTTATTTGAAACCCAGATATTGAACTCGAGGTCTCCTTATTGCTGCCTTAATCATCATCAACAAATCACCTCCGAATCACTCAGCTGCGTTCATCTTCACCATCATGCCCATCTGAAGTTGTTATGGCGTTTGTCTGTGGTGTTTTGGTTCAATTCCACCATGGAGTTGGAGAACACAAAAAAAAAAACTTTCTGAGTTTTGTTGTTTGATATAGGGATTTAAACGAAATTTGTATAAGCTTGAAGATAAAATGTAAAAGAATAGAAAATTATGAGAAAGAAATCAGTGGCGGCCGCAAAATTGTTGCAGAAAACCCTAATAATCTGGGAAAGACGAAGACATATTTACGAAAATGCCCTCACTGAAAAGTTGAAAATACTGTGTACACATGGATAATAACGTGTACACATTATTTAACAAAAATGCGTACCAAGTTTCTGAACAAGACATGTACACATTCATAGTTGTACACATAGATAATAACATGTATGTACACTAATATATATGGTATTGCACACACCGTTTTAGTCTATGATAAAAAAAAAAAGAATAAGATTTCACCATGTTTCAAAATGTCCATGTGTATGTTATTTACATAATTTGTTTGTAGTTACAAATGTAGAGACGAATATGAGTATCCATGTGGAGACCTTACTTCATGAACACATTTTGCATTGTCCACATGAATACTATAAATTATATATTTTTAGTGGCCATAATGATGCACAATATGTACACATATTTGGTGTACATCATCAATAAGTATGTACACAATTTTGGTATATATCATCAGTAGAAAATCACATCTACACTAATTTTGTTGTACACCACAAAAGTAATGATTCTTATAAAAATCACATGAACACTAGATGTACACACGTGTACATCAAAGATAATTTTTTATTATTTTGTGTACAATTTAGGTGTGTATGTTATGTATCGCATACACATGTACATCATAGCCGTGTATACACTTTTTAATATTAATTCATTAATGACATTAACGTAATTATTTCATCTTCTTCCTTAATGATTGTACATGTGTACAATCGTGGTTATGTACAAAATTATATATTATTTATGTACTCATATGTTCGAAATATGCTTGTTGCACATCAAAATTATGGTTTTATATTACAAAGATTTTACAAAATGCACATCCGTCCACCAAATTCAGTTTGATTTGATTTATTTTATTATGTATTTTGTTTTTTTTAGTAAGCTACCATCAATTCACCTCCTTGTGTACAACTTCTTCACATATATTGGTCTACTTTTGAAGTACATGTGTACATGTCACAAAGTGTACACAAAATAACCAACAAACTCTTTGATTACTAATTTTAGTATCTCTTCTTAATTGCACGGTGATCCTTGTTTTATTACTTTCATTTTTACCTCCAAAAATTCAAAGCTAAAAAATGTGTTGGAAAATAAATTAAATGAACTAAAATCAAAGCAAAAAATCAATAGATATGAATAACACAGAAAATCATATGTACACTTATTTTTATGTAGTTTGTATTTGTTTTAGTAAGCAATCAATAGTCTATCTCATGTGCACAACTTATTCACATATATTGGTTCATTTTGAATGTACACGTGTGTATGTCAAAAAAACGTACACAAAATAACGTGTGTACATTAGGTAAGGTGTACACCAACATCGAAAATATACCTTCACAGATCTTAAAAGATAGATCGTATAATGGAGAGAACGATTTCATCGAAAAAAATTTTAAGAATCAGATTTGAATTTTTCTAAAAAAAAATAGAGAATGAAGGAGGAAGAAGACAAAAGGAAAAAAGGGAAAAATATGAGAGAAGGATGTGAGAGGTTAATTACCGCTAGAATCAAATGTGTATTTACTGGTTAGCTAACTAGATGGTTAAGAATTAGGGAACTAAATTGAGAAAGTTAAGATAAACTACCTTGGTAGCACAAACTGCCTATTTATGATATAAAAAACATGAAACTGCCCTAGAGTGATATTCTTTTTCTTACAGTATGGCTACTAGTGCTGCTACTCTAGAACTTGACAGGATGGCTACTATTGCTTTATTTCTTTTACAGTTCCACTCATGTTCTTCAGGTGTACAAATATAATTATAATACTAAATAAGTCACTGAGCTTTCCTTTAGGCCATAGTTATTAAGCATTTATTTTATACCACACAAATCCACATTTTGACATGTTTTTACAAACTCATTTTATGGATTAACTGCAAAAGAACACCTTCGACACAAACGAACTTTTGCAAATCCAATTCCAACGCATAGTATTACTGAATCCTAAACATAACTGATGGGTGATCAGCAATTGTAACGCATGTACTCCTCCAATAATACACAATCTCTACTTCTTGAGCATAAACCATCCCATCTGTGTTTTTTTTTTGTCAAGGACCATCCCATCTGTTTACACTGCATCTTTGTGGTTACACAGCAAGAAAGAACAAGCAAACCGCTACAAGAGACATTTAACTTAAAATATCACATTGGTAAAGAAAAAGAAGAAAGCCGAAAAATAAATTAGAAATGGAGATTATTTATTAATGAAACGAGGTAGCTGAAATGATATACATTCAGAAACTCAAAAGCTAAAACATTAACAACAACCCCTCCTCAAATTGATCAAAGAGGTTTTCCCTGAAAAGAAAAAAAAGACACAACAAACACTTACTAAAAAAACCAATTTACACAAACACAAAGTCTAATTGGTCTCCACACTCACAAAGACTAAAAACCTAATTAGCAACAGAATCTTCCACACCTAGACCATACAAGACTCCAGTGTATTTCTCAGTCGACCCAAGGAAGTACCGTTCCTTAAGCTTCCTAAACGAGCCTAACGTGAGCAAACTATCCGAGCCCGCTTGATGACAAATCCCAACTCTCTCAACACCCATAAGCTCAGCAAGCCTGTTCAACCCTCCAAACAGCCCGTTACAGAACGTCATCAAGTACTTAATATCATAAACCGTGGGGAAATACACAAACAACAGCTTGAAGAAATCACCTTGCTTGATCGGCAACTCTTTACAAGTCAACAACTTCACCAAATACCCAAAATCATAACCTCCATGGAACGTAACCCACGAGATCGAATCGTTCAAAACAATCCCCGAAGACATCATAAGCTCACCGAACCTAACCACATCGATCCCTCTCTCGACGTTCTTCTTGAAATCAATCCCACACTGACGCAACAATTCGATAGACTCACTCGCGTAGATGTCTTCACCGATGTTGAACTCGCGGAAATTGAACTGCCAGATGCAGAACTTGTCGGTCCCGCATGTCGGGAGGTTACCGTTCTCGTCGGAGAAGGTTAGACCGAGTTGGATCAGTTTGAGGAGATCCACGTTTTCTTTGAGGGTTCGGTAGTTAAGGTCATTGTTGTGTTTGAAAGTCTCGACGGGTTTGAGGACGACGCCGGGGAACTCAGTGTCCATGGCGATGTATGTGTATTTGTCAACGATCTCACGGATTAACGCGAATTCTTCGAGGAGGTTATCGTTCCAAACCTCTCGAATCATGATGGAATCTTCTTTGAGAGTCTCCGCCATAAGAAAGTGTTATTATTACAGATCTGGGAAAACAGCATACGGACAAAACCTGTACGGACAAGATCTGAGAATGATCTGGAGAAAGGGAGGGGAGAAAATAAGAAAAGGGAGAGGAAAAAAACAAACCGTAACTGTTAACCAGATTCAGGCAAGGGTAAGTGTAACGTACCTCAGATTTGGGAATACAGATGTTTGAAATCGAACAGATCTAGAGGATTACGCAGAAGAGTTTTCGGACAACGGGGAGAAGGTAGGTTTTGAGGATAAATAAAGAGAAAGTGTGAACCAACTTAGACGATGCCGTTTTGTTTGACGATGGAAGCTTCGTTACGACGACGTTTTACAGTGTGCCTTCATGTATGTATTGACGGAAGTTTTAATCATTACGTTTTGGGGAGCCAGTTTGCCAATTATTATATCCGGATTGTCCGTTCTCAGTTTTGTAATAATAGTTCTATTTTTTTCTTACATAATTGAGGGAGGTGATATCATTTTATGATATGATGACCACTTTCTTATGAATGTGCTCACGGAAATTCCGTTCGTTTCTAACTTGCATGATTTTTCATCACTTTTAAAACCTACCTCCATTACATTAATTTTCTTCATTTTCATGTAATTTGTAGGATAGTAGAACATCTATAAATAAATACTCGATAAATTAACAATTTTATAAATTAATAAATTTCGTCAGTCGATTCAAATTTATCATAAATCGATAAAATAATAAGATTATATTTAAAAAAAAAATCTATATAAATATATGATTCCACTAAAATTATGAACTAATAATTTTTATATATACATATTTTATATAAGTAAGAACCTATCATTATATTGTTTTTTTATATTCACAACAAAATTTTCTTTATATTTTCTTAACACTTAATATATTTTTAATGAAATGGTCTAATATTATATCTAAAACCGTATTTAAATTTTATGTAATATATATTATAATAAAAAATAATACACCAAATAATATAATAAAATTAATATAAATATCAAATATTACAAAATAATAACTAAAGATTATACACTAAAATCAAAATTTATTCTGATCTTAAAATAAATATATTTTTAAAAAATCATATTGTGTATGGCATTAAAGTTAAACCATTGTAATCCCTTTCTCAAAACAATATACCGTAACTATTGAAAGTGTCATTCAACACTAAATAAAAAATTAATTTACACCAAAAAAAAAACTATTGAAAGTGTCATATTCTAAAATTGTGTTATGGTGAACATGTCAAAATCGGTTTTAAACAATGAAACATTATTTTTGTCATAAAACTACAAAGAACTAATATATATAGAATTTATAGTTTTAACTAAAAAAATATCACTTTTTGGTGACTGAAAACTATCAAAATTTACCTTCAAATATTTATGATCCTTAAATCTGAAAGCTATCCATGAAAAATAATATTCATTAAACTGCATATTGAATTTTGTTCACGTTGAACGTTATATTTTAGTCAATATAGTTGTTATACATTTCTTTTTGCTAAAAATATACTACTTGTTATATATGTTGACCTTGTTGATTCGTATACACGCATGACGCATGTAGAATCAGTTAGATGCATGCACCCATTGAACAACTTGTTGCTCAGAACACTTTCACTCTTCAATAATCTTATTCAGCTATTCTTATAGTGTATAATGTCTATGGGTAATCCAAACCATAAAATATCATAGACCAATCTTTATCTGATTCATGACGATTTACAAACATCTTCGTTCATGCAAAGAAGCATTCTATAGATCAAAAGATATTATCTCGATTTCTTCAAAGTTAACAATTTTTCTGTTGTTCGTGAGAATCCGTAAAGCGATTCTCCAACTCAAACAAGTGCCAATAAATCGAACAAAGAAGAAATTATTGGGAATAAAAGGAATGTGTGAAGGAATATTGATTCTGATCATTAATACGGAGTCAATGGCATCATCGTGCTCCCCACTTACCATGAAGCATAATCTGCGCCTTTGTAATAATTAATTCATTTTTCATATAAACTAGTAGTAGTAGATATCTGCGACAATTTTTTTTAAACGTGTCCGAGTTCAACACATTCACTAAATCAACGATTATGCTTCTTGTTGTCCGGTAATAATTGTCAACGCATAATTTTTCGCTGGCCTGAATGTAGAAAGGAATTACCGTTCATGACAAAAACAAGAGATAAGGGGATGGTAAGTGGGTAAGTGGATTCTCCATTTAAAGCTATCAGTGTCCCTGATCATATTGACACCACATTAGAACATGATTAATTCTGGTATTTTAACCGGAGTTTTTAACTCTGATCTTTTAGTCGGAGTTTTTAACTCATGATATGATTTGATATTTTTATTTTTATAGATAAAATTTTTAAAAATATAAGAATCGTCGTTTAACCATCGTTTAATAATGGTGTGTGACCCTTGCTAATGTCGCAATCAATTGCTAGGAGGACAACTAAACACATAAGACAGACTTGATAAATAAGAAAAAGACAAATCCAACGGCTCATAACGTCTCTCGGTTCACATCAAATGACCAACGACTAAGCCTGGCCTTTGATTGCGACACGTGTCTCTTTCAGACAAACCATAACCAAGCGTTTCTCATTCGTTCTCACTTTTCTCTCCTCCGTCTCTGTCTATCATCTTCTCTTTTGCTTCCAAAGAATCTAGCTTCAGATTTTGTTCATTCTAGGGTTTTACAATTCTCTATTTAACTTCTCTTTTCTCCTTCGTTAGCGAGCAAACCGAGTGGACACATACACATTCTTTGCATGCAAGAGAGATGAAATTCATATAAGATTAAAGGAAATAAATTCATTTTTTTTTGTATCTGGCGTTCCAGATTCAATCCTGAGCCTATCTCTATTACCGTTCTTTCTAGATTCAGTTCTTTTGAAAAAATCTAGGGCTGAATCAGAGAAGAAACCCTAATTTAAACTATTGTGTCCGTATTTAGATTTATACTTTCTATTTATGGATCCATCGATCGAAGTCATGTTAGTTAGTTATTATTCCTAGTTTTGATTTCAAGTACCGTCCCTCTGTACTTTTATCTTATTTTTTTATGTTTAAATCTACTCGGTTACTGTAACTAGACTATAGTTTCCTGGCTATATATATAGTACATATATGTTTTTTCAGTATATTATATATTAGATGCTTAAAAATGGCTATAGATAAATATATGTTGATGGGGGAAAAGAAGTTGTCAGAAGAGTGTGAGCACACAAAGGGGGGAATTGTATAAAATTAAGTTGTATATGGTTACTTTTGCGTGCTCATTCTCATTCTGTCATAACTTCTCCTTCATGAATCTTTGTGATTATGTATGTAGTATTCACTCATATCAGTATCCATACCATTATACCAAACCATGTATACATATGCTGGCATAAGAGTAGTTTCAAAACTTCGTAGATGATTTTGTCCTATAATATCTTTACACATATGACATGTATATACACTGTTTGTTTAGACTTCTCGTATAATATAATGTCTCCTTTTTGTGCTAGGTCTCCTTGACCCGTTATGCTTCTAAAATTTGTTGTCAATCACCGGAACAAACACTTTTTTTTTGCAGATTCTAGCTCACAACTATTGATTGCGTTTTATCAATGGATTAATGGCGACGATTAGCCAAAGTTGGGAGTTGATGAGCTCAGAATCAGAGGAATTTGTAGTTACTGTTGGTTAAGTGACTATTGTGATCTTAAGTCTCTTGATTAGAGCGGTGCACATATGACATAAATATGTGAATGCACTATCTGTTAGACTTCTCAGAGGATCTAATGTCTTTTTCTATTTGGGCTAGGTTTCGTTGACCCATTATGCTTGTTAGACTCGTCAGAGTATGATGTCTATATTCTAAATCAACTATTGGCACTGGAACAACACGTTTCTTTCTGCAGACGATCTAGCTCACAACTATATTGAATAGCCCCCAACTATACAAAAGGTTAGTCAACTTTTTAAAGAATACTTTTGAATCCATGGAATAAGATTGCGTTCAATGGATTGATGGTGACAATTAACCAAAGTTGGGAGTTGATCATGAGCTTAGAATCGTAAGAATTGTAGTTTCTGTGGTGGTTAAAGTGACTATTGTGATCTAAGGTTTTTTGATTAGCTATGCAAAACCAAGAGGTATAATCATCCAGGTTAGATAATGTCGTTTAACTGATACGTCTGAGCGTGAGCGAATCTCGGATTGTTGTAGTGAAGAAAATTATTATTGTCTAGCAAAGGACACATAGTAGGAACATTTTACTATCCTACCATCGAGTATTATATGTTCTATGTATTAGATTATACATACTTGGTGCCTTTTTATGGTTATGCAGTTGATGACTTGATATCACAAATGTGTACAAAAGACATGCGTGTATATATATTTTGTTCAGATGGCACAAAACTAGAGCACAGAACATTTTGTGGATTTAAGTTACAGAAAAAAAAAGAACATTGTGGATTTTGGAACATGACTTGGATGAGTTATGTCGTCTTTTTGTATAATTGTGATATATAGCTTAAGATTGCATACACAACCATATGCAATCCCCTTCAGTTCATTATCTCGTCAAGTAGTAGCCTCTCGCTTGTGTTCTCCTGCTTGCAGCTTGTTGTAGTAACCTATTCAGCGACGGGATTACTGGAACTCGCAAATTTCGGAGTTACGTTTTTGATTCTACGATCAGTAGGATATATTTTGTGCTGATGTTATGGACTTTCATGACGATGATCTTATGGTAATAGACTTTAAATAAATTGTTTTTTCGCTGATGTTATTAAACTGCAAAAAACAAAAGAACAAAAAAAGAATGGCTGTGCCGTTTTGAACACATGATATCTAGATCCAGCATACATGCACGCAGAGGATCTCGAAAATGGAAAGATATAAGGTCGAGTTTTCTGTGTAAAAACAAGTAAAATACCTTGATCACTCTACTTTTAACGGATTTTTTAAAACTCTCTATTTCGGAATAAAATGCAGAACTAATATTGGGCTGCTTACAACAAACCTGGTCTTACAAGAATTCTACAAATGGGCCGAAAAAAGAAACTAAATGTACTTTTTACAATGACGGGTCGCTGACCAGTCAACCTCACCGCTATCATACTCACTCGATTTCGACAAATCAGCACAGTAATTTAAACCGTAAAGAAACAAACGGTTCAGATGCTATGGAGTACATGTACACCCAACATCCGTCCGCAGAGGATCACCCTAGCAGTATAGTAGAATGATCCAGCGGGTACGGTAAAATAAAATTGCGTCAAAAAGCGGAAGCCAAGAGGCAAAGAAAAAGAGAGCAAAGGGCTTTTTAATCTTTTAGTATTGTCCAGTTTCCTTGTTGTATCTGATCGGTGGTGTGGTGGGGATCGCTATCGCAATGGAGAATTTAGGTTTTCATGATGGTAACATCTTCAATCTCCTCCACTCAAGGTCCACCGA